AAATGACTGAAATCTCTTGGGGCTAGAAATTAACATTAAAAAAGAAGAGAGAACTAGGAACCTTCTACCTCTTTGCTGCTAATTGACCCCTTTGGGCTCTCTGGGGTGGAAATATCACATCCGATATAGCACGAGTAAGGGAAATGTCTGTTAGGGAGTTCTGGAGCATGTGATGGGTGAGAAAAGGCTGAGGGAAACCGGCTTGTTCAGCCTCCAGAGGAGAAGATGAACAGGAGATCCTATTGCTGCCTTCAACTTGCTGATGGGAGGGCAGAGAGGAGACAGAACCAGACTCTTCTTTAAGGTAAGCAGAAATAGGAAAAGAAGCAATAAACACAATTTGCAACATGGGAGATCCCAGTTTCACACTGGGAAAGAAAATTTCTCAGGAGCGGTCAAGCACTGGAGGAGGTTGCTCAGAGACGTGGAGTCTCCATCCTTGGAGATACTCAACCTAGACTAGAAAGGGCCTTTGGCAGCCTGAGCTAATCCAACCTGCTCTTGAGCAAGAGGTTGGACTGGATAACTTCATAAAGTCCCTTCCAACTGAAATAGTTCTGTAAATCTGTAGCTCTTACTTAGTTGGTCTGTGTAATACTGGGACTGACCGGGTGCGTTACTATTTCGGTGGGTGAGGTCTAGGGGAAGGAGAAAGTTTTGAAACACCATTTAATTTATGTAGCTTCCTTCAGCTCTGTTTGTCTGTGCTGTGGTTTTGAGAGGCTCTATAAGCTCTCTGCCGCCTCCCCTTTTAACTTGAGGATACGTGGCTTTCCTGTGTCTGCCATTAACACTATACATAAGCGCATCTGTGTTGAGATTGATACCTCAGAACTGAGCCTCAGCGCAAGAGAAATTGTTAAAAAAGACTGAACTGGATGTCGCTGGTGCACTCAGTGAGCACAGCCAGACACAAGCTTCAAAAGATAGCCTCAAATGGCTTGCCATAGGAGGGTCTCAGAGGTAGAGTACAAATTAGGATATTTTATGTATTCTGTCCTAATTATATTCTCATGCTCAGAAAGATTAGAGAAAGAACAAACATTACTTTCTTTTAATAAGAGATTAATAAGGACATTGGGGAATGGACGTCCACACACTGCTTTCTTCAAACACACAACCTGCTGAGATGCATAATATTTCTAAAAATGGGAGAAGTGCTGAGATGTTCCGATTGACATTTCAGTGCCTGTCTGATTTCAGTGTCTGCCTGAAATATAGGGTTCAATAATCCTATTATGTGTGTCTGGCACACTCCTCCTTCTTTAGCAAAGTGCCTCCCATAACTGCTATAATAAGACAGAACAGCCAAAGCCTAATTCTGTGTGCCTCATCCTATCATTCAGCAAAGTTATATCGTCATCAGATGCAATCTATTGTTTTCTTTCCTGCTGTGTGGTATTGATTTTTCTAACCTTTCCTAATGTTAAATTTGTTTGGCTTTTTTAACTTTCTTACCAAAGGTTAATGTTATTAAGTTGAGCAGGTAACTATAAAACTACAAGCATTATTGCCTAGCTTGCAATTGTTGGAGTGTCCTTTCATTAAACCCTGGCTGCATCAGAGAGCTCTTGTCTTGAAGATTTTTGTCATTCGGGAATAGAGCGAAGGGTGACAAGAACTGCCTTTGAATTGTCATCCAGTTCTGTGGTATGGAATCTTGGATTTGATATGTCAGAAGCAACAGATTTATCTAAAATTCTCTTACCATTGGTGAACGTGGACTGGGCAGACGTTAATTCCAGCGAGGCCATCAAGAGGATGCGGGAAGATGCCAGTGGTGCTGGCTGTTCTCTTCTCCAGCAGGGTCTGACCACTTTGCCCTTGTGGCAAAAGGAGCAGATCTAAAATCTCTGCCAATTCCAGAGCTGGTGATCTGCCTGGTGTGGAAAGAGAGTGAGAAATCACAGTTTGATCTGAAGGAAGCCATGGCTTTAATGGTGGCACGCTGTCAACATTTTCCCGTGTGATCTGCAGCAGTACTTGTGCCAAGTGTCAGAGGTGCAGACAGTGAGTACACAGTCTCAGGATACCACTGTTAAGCCAGGTTTCCTTTTCAGTTACTGCTGCCAGAGAACCATCCTGATATCAATATCATGGGTGCAGTAACTGCCTTTAATGAATCGTGCATTTGACATCCCTTTTACACATTTAGATTGTATTTCTGTGGTGTATCTTTGAGGACTATTATTGTGAATATGTGCATATATTTAGGGGCCTAGAACATCTCTCTGATGAGGAAAGGCTGAGGGACTTGGGTCTTTTTAGTCTGGAGAAGAGAAGGTTGAGGGGGGATTTAATCAACACCTATAAATACTTCAAGGGTGGGTGTCAGGAGGATGGGGCCAGTCTTTTTTCAGTGGTGCCCAGGGACAGGACAAGAGGAAATGGGCACAAACTTGAATGTAAGAAGTTCCACCTAAACATGAGGAGGAACTTCTTTGCTGTGAGGGTGGCAGAGCCCTGGAAGGGGCTGCCCAGGGAGGTGGTGGAGTCTCCTTCTCTGGAGACATTCAAACCCTCCTGGACACGTTCCTGTGGGACCTGCTCTGGGTGGACCTGCTCTGGCAGGGAGTTGGACTAGATGATCTCCAAAGGTTCCTTCCAACCCCATATCATTCTGGGATTCTGTGAAAAGACAGGAGCAGGGCTGAATGTAGGATGGCTATGCGTGGTGCATCACAGCTTTCTTCTGGAGCTGCAGGAAGTGACCTTAAGTGCTTTCCAGCCACCACAGTGACGTTATCTTGCCTTGGTAGTACCTTGTAGTTGTTCTGAAATAATTTCTTAATGAAGAACATCCCAAGAAGCTAGGTAAGAACTATCCAAAAGTGAAATGTGTAGGAAGCATAATAAATCATAAAATAATTTTATCTGCTGTAGATCATCACTTAGGAAAAAACCCAGACAATTTGGCTTTCCCTTGGTGGAAAGCAGAATTGCAGCCTACCTGCAGCTGCCAAATCCTGAGGGGGGTCCAAGGAGGAGATCAGGATTGTTAGTGACTGCAGGAAGGAATATTTCAAAGTCCTGGGAGGAAGTGGGGGTTAAATGTTTTATTTATCAATCAGTACCTATAAAGCACTTCTGCCAGTGCTGTGAAGTTAAGGAATGGTCCTGGCAAAAGATAAAAGACCTTCCTTCTCTACTGCTAATTTAAGAGCTGCTAACTCGGGTTCTGTCTCTTCTCCTGTGCTCAGCAGTAGCTGTCCCTGCCATTGATTTAGTCTTCAGCTGTCACATTCTTATGCTGTTCAAAGGCTTGTTGTGGAGGAGGTTCTGTCTCTTCACAGTTTCTCACAGCTTGGTCTCTCTTGCCACTATCAGTGCTGATAAGGAGACTGTCTGAGAGCACCCCGTTCTTAGTGAATGAGACATCTTTTCGCTTAGAGGGGTTTTGATGGACAAATTCCCTTCAGTGATTTTTCAGGTCCAACTGGGAGCTTTCTGGGTGGGCCTGAACATCCCTATACCTTTCTCGGGCTCCCTGGGTGTCTCTGGCTGGCGTCGCACAACTCACATAGTCATTACAGGCTCCAGATGGCTTGTGTCCCTTCTCCCTCTGCCATTTTTATGTTGCAGCCTTCCCTGGTGAAGAGTGGAGATGTGGCAGCTCTTTGGATTGTTTGACGCTTAGCACTGAGTCCAGGCTCCAGCTGCCTTTTCCAAGGCTCTTCGTGGGGGCAGCAACGTCACTTCTGCAAGGGAGGTCTTTGATTACATGTGCTGATGGAGCTGTAGGATGCTTCACATCTGTGGGTGGATACTACTACTTGAAAAGGCATTTAGAGCAATATTGGGAATCAAAAGGGCTACTACTTTTGACCAGGTTTCCTTCTGGAAGTTTTTTGAGGAGGGAGGAGAAGGGCCGTTATCTCCTCCCTTATCTCTCCCACTTCATCCAAATCCCCTACTGCATGATGGTTTTGTAAGATTTTATATGCCTTCTGGCTGTGCAGGGAAGCATTTCAGTCATAGGGGATGTCTTCCTATTGGAGACTCGTTATTTCATTGCAGGGAATCCACTAAACTGCATCCGTGCCCTGATCTGGAAAATTTTGTCTTCCATGCCTTAATTTTTACCACTAAGGTAGAAGCAGCTTTAACATTTTGGGTTTTTTAGCGATGTAATATACTTTATACACACAGGCACATATTCAAAGATTCTGTAGTTGGAATACTTTTCTCTTATCAGTTGTTACTGTGTAGAGCAGAAATATAAAATCTGTCACATAAAGACAGAGCTAGGAGGCTTTTAAGGGGACCTTGAAGTGGTAGGAGAGGGAACCTCTAAATCCAGCGTGTATGGTTCTTATTTTAATTTACGATGGTGTATTGGTGTTTTGTATCCTTGAAACCTCTTTAAGTAGTGACTTTATGTGGTAGATACACTCTACTTTTCCTTACTCAGCTTTTTATCAGCGTAAGACTTGTGTTAGGTCTTAATTAAGAAATCTGTACTCCTGCTCTTCTCCACTTTAAGGGGCTCTCATCCGTATTACCCTGTTGCGAGGAAATTGTTGTATCACGGCAAATTAACTAGTACAACTGCACTGGTTCCGGGAAGCTTGAGTGCTTGTGTGTGCTGGCATTTATACACATGTGAATATACGCAGCAGAAATGTAGTAACGGTGCCACCAGAGAGGACAGTCCTTTTCCTAGAACCTCATCCTGGAAGTTACTCATCACCCAGGGCTCACTGCATCCCACGCTTGTCCATCCAGCAGAGCATCATAGACCATCCAGACTCACACATGTACTCCCATGGGTTTTGAATATCTACCCCTGTGGCTATCAAACTGCTGTTTCATAATAATCTGTTCAGCTGGGTCCTATGGCCTTTGGACTGTGTAAGGCTAAATGGCTTTTACTTAATTCTGCATCTCCATGCGGAGACTTTAAGAGTTGTTGACTGCAGTTAATTTCACCAAATTGAAAGATTTGAAAGATGACTGACTTTTTTTTTTTTTTCTCTCTGTTTTTGCTGCTTCTTCACTAGGGATGTGAGTTAATTGAGACCATGGATCAGGACCTCACAGATTTCACCAAGTGCCTTCAGATACTCCAGAAAAAGATAGAGAAGAAGGGCCTCCAGGTAAAGGCAACACATCTTTTGTCTCTGGTTCTTAGTTATTATTCTTCCTCTCAATGTATTTAGTTTTAAGTTTGCACTGAAATGAAACGGTATTTTCTGTAGCCTTGCCATTCTGTGGTTTTTGCTATAATTTACTGCACACCTTGTAAGCATTGATGCTTCTGCTGAAAGGGATTACACGGTGTGTCAACGAACAAGCATTGGCTTTCTTAAAAGGCAGCTTGTATTGATTTCTGTTAATGAACTACCCAAAGTGCAGAAGAGCTGTTGTGGCTGGTGTTCAAACCAAGAGTCCCGCTGTAGCATGTAAATATATTTTCAAGCCTTGGCACGCTGAGCCTCGATGTTCATCTCCTTCCTCTCACCTCCCAAAGGTGAGATGGGAGGGGAAATCTTATCCTGCCAACATTACATATGGTGAGCAATACCTCCTTCTGCAGAAGGTTCCCCTGGAATCAAAGGGAACCTTTGCAGAGCAAGCAGTGCACTAAACTTAAAAGGAGCCATATGGAGTTGTCAGCTGCTCATTTCATTGTAAAGGCAAAGGAAGCAATGTTCCTCCTCCCCTCCCAGTTCGATTTCAGAGGCCCACTTGTTTTGTCTCTCTGAAATGTGAAGTTAAAATTCCTTGGGAATTTCCAACGTGATGAGTCGATGGCAGATGTGCTCTTGGGATTGATACCCTTTCCTCATCTAAGCTCTCTCCTCTGTTCTGAACGTCCTGGTGAAAGGAATTGAGAAGAAACAGTTGCTGCATCCTCTTAACAACAGTGAGGGCAAGAGTCATGTAAGAAAATGAAAACAACAGCAGAAGATGGAAGGAGATGTGTAAACCTCCTCTTTGCCCATTTTGGTTGCAGCAGGAAGGGAAAGTTGCCTGACTGCCTGAGATCACTTGTGCTCCAACAAAGCAGCGAGAGATGGGAATGCCAGTACCACTCCCTCTTTCTTCTCTTCTCACTTCAGGATGATAAATAATTAACCAGGTTTCGGTTAAGTTATTTTGAAATGTCTTAATCATCTAGAGGAGATGTACGTCCACAGGACTTTTCAGAGTGCTGTCACAAAATGCCCACTTCCAGTTGCTTCTCCTCTTGCCGCCCTCAATACATGGTGCTGTTCATCAGGGTTTTTTTTTACCCCCATCAGTATTGACAGAGACTGGAGAGTTTCTCTATACACTTCTCTTAGCTGTCTGGCTGCGTGCCAGGAAACTCTATATATGATAGTTTATTTTTTTCCCCCTATAACTTATCATCACAAGAGCACAGAGGGATGTCTTGCCATCTAGGACACAAATGATAATGAGTGCTGTCGGAACAGATGAGCCACCTACACCTAGGATTTGTCTTGACTTTGACAAGTAAGGTGCTTCCCTCTTAACAGAATTACCCTTAGAATGAAGGGGAACCTGAGTGTTTCCTGGATTCGGTTCATTATCAAATCCCAGCTATTGCTATAGAGGGATTTTTTTTAAGCTATCACAAGAGGTTTTGTAATGAATAATCAATGCCTGGTTAAAATAAGAGCAATGGGAACATGACGGCTACAGATGTGTTTCAACAATAAGTACCCTATTTGTAAAACTTTGAATTCTTTGATCGCTCTCCTAGGTAAAGCCCTGTTGACTAAAGCCTACTGCATTGTAGTCCGTGATGATATTTTGTAAAGTGAAAGCCAGAGTGTAATCACAGTAATTGTGCAGAGTCCGTGCTACTGCACTAAACCTAACATCTCAGCTCGGTTACGCTTTCACGCTGTTACATGTAAGATGTGCTTTAAATACAATCTGAGTTCTTCAGATGGAGCAAGAATTAACACAGCTGTTTTCTAAAGTAACACATAGGTTTCCTAAAACTCAGTACCACGTTCATTAAATCCTAGCTGCTTCTTGCTTGCAGTGCCTGTTCCAGAAAAAATAATAAGATGCTCACAGCTGATTCATGCACACTTGCTGGAGCATACATTTCTATTTTTGGTCTTCCAAAAAGAAACCATTTTATGGCTTAAGGAGTTTCAGGAAGCTATTGATGAAACTTGAACCCAGAACTGTATCACAACTGTATACATTATTACTTTGGGTTCTAATTTGCCCTTTGTTCAGAAGCACAAGGTCTTCTAGAATAATTAGCTGAATTCAGAACTGCTTTTTCCTTATGACTCAAGTGAAAACTCTTAGGATGGTTTCTGAGTCCTCAGCGACATTGATTTCTGGTTTGCGTTGCCAAGTTTGGTTGCATAGCCAAGTCATGCAGAAAGCAGCATTGGGGTCGTTTTGTGATGACTAAATCACCTAATTACATGTATTTATAATTACACACTGCAGTGAATGTCAGAACAAGCAGTACCCTTTATACATGCAAGCTAGAATCGGTCTTCATTTTCCCTCTCCACCACCCTAATTCATTTGTGAATTGCATTCTTTTGGGTGGGTGAAGCAGTGAAGTACCACCAACAGAATCTGACTCCTCAAGTTTCTTTCCGACCTAAAGGCTGTTAGATATTTCTCCTTCTCTTTCTGCATAGAATGATAGAATTGTTTGAGTTGGAAGGGACCTTTCAGATCATCCAGTCCAACCACCAACCTCACTCTGATAAAACCCATCACTAACCCATGTCTCTAAGCACTATGGCAACCCGGCTTTTAAATCCCTCCAGGGATGGGGCCTCAACCCCTTCCCTGGGCAGCCCAGTCCAAGGCTTAAGAGCCCTTTCCCTGGAAACATTTGTCCCAATCTCCAATCTGAACCTCCCCTGGTGCAACTTGGGGCCATTTCCTCTTGTCCCATGGCCTGTTCCTTGGGAGAAGAGACCGACCCCCCCTGGCTACACCCTCCTTTCAGGGAGTTGGAGAGAGCCGGAAGGTCTCCCCTCAGCCTCCTTTTCTCCAGGCTCAACACCCCCAGCTCCCTCAGCCAGCCAGTCTCCTCACAAGACTTCTTCTCCAGACCCCTCACCAGCTCCGTTGCCCTTCTCTGGACCCACTCCAGCCCCTCAATGGCTTTTTTGTGATGAGGGGCCCAAAACTTGACCCAGGCCTCGAGGTGGGGCCTCCCCAGTGCCCAGTCCAGGGGGACGGTCCCCTCCCGAGTCCTACTCCCCACGCTGTTCCTGACACAGCCCAGGATGCTGGTGGCCACCTTGGCCACCTGGGCACACTGCTGGCTCCTGACTGTGAGTATGCGTGCACACACATGCACGTGCATGCATGTAGATAACTGCACACATCTTCTGGCAGTACACCTTCCTGGCCCTATGTGATGCTTTGTTAATGTATAAAAATCTCTGTCTTTTTTTTTTCTGCCATGTGTTTCTTTTACATTCTTTATGGTCTGTCAGAACACTTAGGTGTGCACATTTTGCTTTACTGCTTTTATCACTATTTTAGCCAATCTGTGGTTATGTGAGAACTTTCCTTTCTTCATTACAAGACTTTCAAGTAAACTTATTTACAGTAATTTCTCTCTGGTACTGCTTTCTGTTCCTTATTTTCTGTCAAGCAACATGAGCTTTTCCAATAAACCATCTGAAGTGGTAAAATCATAGGTATGGTTACCATAGCTTTTATTTAGAGATGAACAGATCTTGCATTAAGAGTGAACATTATTACCTTCGATTTGCAGATCAGAAAGCAGAAGTACAGAAGGAACTTGCCCACAGTCTCCCAGCACCCTAGTGGTACTGCTGGGTGTGATCCTCCAACTCCCAGTCTTCATCAAGTGCTCTTTCCGTCACAGTGTCCCTGCTCTGACTCACAGGCAGCTCAAGCCATTGAGAAGTGGACTTGATTTTGACCATGCATGGTCCTTTAACACTCTTCAGGTATCTAGAAAATCTTTAGAAGATAAACCACTCCGGTACATTAATGATTCAGAAAGATAAATTTGGTACTGTGTCAATTACACAGCTCCGAGAAGAATCCTCATAATGTAAAGCTGGATTTAAGCCATTTTCTTTATCTCAGAGTGACAAACTCTGCTTTAACTGTTTCATCTAAAACACCATTTAGTTTTAAAACTAAGCTCTGGGACTTTTCATTTAACTTTATTATCTTTTCTGCTTAAAAAAAGTTAAAGCAGCTCATTTGGTTATATGAGCTAAAGATATAAAAAATGAATTTTATTGAAACCTACATCCCTTTTAGTGGTTTAATGTTAGTGTGTTTAAATTGATAAAAGCATCAGTGTCAATATGAAAAAGGGAAAGAATGCAAACCAACTCTTCCTAAAAACCCCTTTGCAGTAAAGGGATACTATATTAACATTTTACATTTTAAAATTACACTTTAAAGGTTCAATCTGTCAGCAACCTGGGGTATTGCTTTTTTTAAGTAAATGCATTCTTCTCTTTACCCTTTTAAAGCAAGCATCAAATCAGTCCACTTTCTTTTCTTTTGAAGGAGGCTAAACTAAACATAATGCTAGTGCAGTCCTGTGTTTATCAAGTGTGGAAGAGAAGACGATGGAGTGATGTTGAGGTACCACCTTCAGCTACACAGTGTTCAAACAGCTTATTGAGCACTGTCTGCTTTGTCTTTATATGAAGAAAAAAGACCCTGAAGGAAAACAGAAAATACTCTAAAACAAAGATCAGAAAATTCCTTAAAAGATAATAACTTTTTTACATAAAGAACAATCCAGTGTGGAAAGTGTATAATTATTGCAAGTACCGGGCTCCATTTAGCTGAGCTTTGGTTTTGTCTGTCAGTTGAGGTCATTCCTGATGACATGATGTTTTTGTAACAGTAAATGCATCAGCTTCAGTTCCTGACCGAATCATAATTGTGCTGCTCACCTTAGTAGTGGGTAATTTCATGCCAGTTCACCGCTAGTTTTAATTTCTGAAAACTTCTGGGCACTCAGAACAGCAGTAGGAATGGCTTTTACAGGAAAACCTAGGAATGAGATCAGGCCATTACCAGGATTTGGGAACAGGGAAGTAACTAAATGCCAGAAATCAGGGGAGAAAGCAGTCTGGGAGATAACAAAGCTGGCCTGGAG